ATTGGTTTAGCCCAGCCGCTGCGGCTCAGTGGTTGGGCGCGGCCCTATGAACCAGGAGGTCTCAGAGCGGTTCCAGGTCAGGGCACATGGCCAGCTTGAGGGTTTGATCTCCAATGTGGGGAGGGCAGGCGGCAGGTGTATCATTGTTGGCACTAGCTTTCTCTCCGTTCCTCCTTGAAATCAATAAAGACATCTAAAGCCGAGAAGGTCTCCGAGAGCCCCTAGAAAGCAAGCCCGAGGCCAGTCCGTGGAGAGCACCAGCGTCTCGGGGGGCGACCGGCGGCGGGAGCCATGGGCCCTCGGAGCCCGCGCTGAGCCCGGCCCGGGCCCCGCGATGCTGACGCCCCGGCGGCGCGGAGGGCGCGGCGCGGGGCAGCGCTGAAAGTTGGCGGCGGGCAGGGAGCGCCGGGCCGTGCGGAGGCGCGCGGAGCCGGACGCGCGGAGGTTCGCGGACAGGACCCCCCGACAGCCGAAGAGGGGCCGGGGCCGGCCGCCGGGTTCGCGGGGAGAGGGCGCCGGGACTCCCCTCTCCCCGCCGGGACGCCGCCGCCAGCGCCGTGGGATGTAGAGCCGGCGCGCAGCCTCGCGGACGCCATCGGACCTCGGCCCGCGGTAAGCCTGCCCGCGCTCCGCCGGCGCAGCCCGTCGTCGGTCCCGCCCCGGGGGAGGCTGTGTCCTGGGCCGGCTGCTCCGGCCGGTGCGCTCGGTACCTGATCCACTACCCGACCCGGGGTCCTGCGAATTCCCGGGAGCTGGCGAGCTCTGTCCTTCTGTCTGTCGGCAGTGGTGAGGTCTGGGTGGATGCCAGGAATAAGAGAGAGGTGGGCTGAACGGGCCTTGACCTCCTGCCCCGGTCACGACCCTTCCCTGCCTCCACCCACCTCCAGCTGCCTCCCTGGGTTCCAGAGGAGTTCCGAGGCAGGTGACTTTGGCAAGGGGGCGGAGGAGCTCTGCGATCCTCATCCCACCGCAGCCTGCTGGCCCAGGGCCCTTCCGTCTGACCCAGAACAAATCCCACTTCTCAGGTCTTGAGCACGGACTCTGGGCCAGGCGACCCCAGTAAATGAGGCATTTCCACATCTCACAGTGTAGAGACCGGCTGTGGGGAGAGCACAGTCTGCCTTTTCCTCCTTAGAGGGGGAACCCCGGGCAAAGAGAGGTCTGGATGGACCCCAGAGCCGGGAAACTTCCCCTGCAACATGCTGAGTCTCCCCCACCAGCATCACTCACTTCTGCCCCAGTGCCCAGCTCCAGGATGGGGGGAGGATGCAGGGAGATGGGCAGGCAGGAGTGTGGTGGAGGGACCAGAGGCAGGGTGGCCTGGGCACGTTGGCAGGTGGGGGCCTCAAGAGCAGTCGGATGTCAAGCAGCAGGTTGAAGGGAAAGGCAATTTAGGGAAGGAGGTCACACTGGCAAGGCCCGGAGAGGGAGCCGTACCCTGAATGTGTGCATGTGTGTGCGTGTGCGCACGTGTGTGCATGTGTGTGTGTGTGCATGCGTGTAAAATGTCTATTCCGCTTCTCCTGCACATCCAGTTCTGTGATCTCCAGAGCACCAGGGCTTTGGGGGACTGTTGCCAGGACTTTGGGGGCCTGAGAACCCCATATGGCCCTGGCTTGGACTGGGATGAGGGGAGCAAAGGACTGAAGCCAGCAGTGGGGTAAGGGCTGGAGTGCATCATGGCAGGAGCAAAGGCTGTTGGCCGTGGAGCTGACCCATACATATTCAAACCAGAGCCTGGAGGACTGAGCCTAGAACATTCGACTGTTTTCTACTGGGAGGAGGGGCTCTCTCTGGGGCTTTCTACACTGGGCAGTGGGCCTGCGTGTCCTCCAATCAGGCTCCTAGAAACCAGCTTAGCTAGTTGAGGAACCGGCACCCTGGACAAGTCACTTGCTCCTTGACCCTCAACTTCCGCATCTGCCCCGCTGACCTCCAAGGAGGGCCCCTGGGCTCAAATGAGCCGAGGGCTGTTCACAGGCTGGGGACGGGCTGGGCAAGTGGGAGTAAGGATTCATTTGACCTTTCGGAAAATGCACAGCTAATGGAGAGGGGGAAATGGGCCGGAAATAGAGGGCTGACCAAGGAGAGGAGGGTCCAGGAATTAGAGGGAAGATCTGGGGATTGGGGACTATTCCTCAGGGTCCCTTGGGTTACCCTTGAAAAAGAAGCTCCTTCCCCAGGAAAAAAAAAACCTTTGGCGTCACTGGGAACAGACAGCGCCGGCCTTGAGTTTCTGCTGGGTGACCTTGGGTAGCTGTCTTGACCTCTCTGAGCCTCAGTTTCTTCAACTGGAGAATGGGGATGATGGTAGTGACTTCAGTGGGTTGCTGAGTGATTTACAGACGATGCCATGTCTCTGAAGGCAGCTTGCACAAGCCTGGGACATAGTAGGCTCTTAACAGACGTTTGTGGAAGAGAATGAAGTAGCGGTAGGAGATGCTGTGAAAAGATTTCTTAGCTTAGGATAAGAGGGAAGGGGAGGAGGAACAGCGTAGGCTTACAGGGCGGGCTGGTTCTTAATGTGGATCTGGGGGAGGCGGGGGCGAGAGCCGAGGGGGCTGTGAGGAGGAGGGGGCCCCTCTGCAGGGACCACTGAGTCACGAGGACATGTAAGCGACATGACAACCAGCAACATGGTAACCAAGAGACTAGCGGCGATGGGAAACGGAGCTGGAACGGTGTGTTGGGCGGGGAGGCTCAGGACTGGCAGCACCAGGGCTGCAGGGGCCTCTTGAGTCAGGGAGTCAGGAGGGGAGGCCTGCAGGTGGGGCTGGGGAGGGGGAGGCCGGAGTGGGAGGAGGACCGGCGCCTCTGGGGTCTGCTGGGCAGGGGGGCTTCTCCTGCACCTCCCCAGGCTCCCCGCTCCTCTCCTCCACGTCTCCACTTTTCGTGCCTCTCCCCCTAGGATGCCAAATTTGGCTCACGCAATCTGTCGTCTCTCTTCTGAGATTGGCACCAGGACCAAAGCCGAGTGCATTACATCACTGCAGCTCCCCCTGCACGAGGAGAGGAGAGGGAGGGCCAGAGGGCCCGGGACAGGCGGCCACCCCGCAACTTGCCTTCCTGACTTCCTGCTCACGCTCCTGCCTCAGTCCCAGGTGTTGGGGGCTTCTGGGAGCAGCCAGGTGGAGCCTAGAGGCAGGGCAAGGGCTCTAATTTAGGGAGACTCCAGGTCGAGGCAGGAGTCAGACCATGCTGCTGTCCCCCTGGCAAGGTGGGGCCCGGGAAGCCGGAGCCTATGTTCAGGACCCTGGTTTCTCATGGCCTTGGTGTGACCTTGGGCAGTCCCCGCCCCCACCCCATGCAGCGTCTACATCTGTATAGAGAACAGCTGGCCACTCAAAATCCTGGTGACTCTCCTGAAAGAAGACGCCCTTGAGCTCTGCTGCTCTCCTGGGCACCGAGGCGTCCTGAAGTTTGATTGCTCTCTGTGACCTTGAGCGAGTGCCTTTCCCTCCTTATGCCTCCATCTCTTTGCCTGTGAAATGGGGACAGCAGAACCTGCAACGGCACTAGATGTGCAAGAGGGGTACAGGGAGAAGAGAGAGGGTCTCTGGCCCCGAAACCATAGCCACTCAGAGGCCCCGTGCTCCTAGCATGCGAGGCGGGGGGCAGGGCAGAAGGACAGGGTGGCCATTCAGACACAAGGCTTGGCGCTTCAAATCACTGCTCTGGTGCCCCCACGTCACAGAACTAGAAATCGAGGCCCGGAGAGGGACGTGGAGCCCCCCAAGGTCACAGTGATGGTTTAGGGGGTGGAGGAAGCAGAACCGGGGCCTGAACCTGGGGCTCCTGGCTCCCAGTCCTGCGTGGAGATAGACAGGCAGATGCCCAACCCCAGGGAGCACAGTGGCGGCCCAGACAGGACCCAGGAGCTTTGAGGGCCCAGTTCTCCCTTTGGCTCCCTTCCTGCTCCCTGGCCCCACCCCCTCCATCCCTGAACGTTAATCCCACCCCTCCCTCACTTGATCCATTTGAAAAGCTCCCTCTCAGGTTCATTGAGAAGCCAGTTGCAGGCAGTCCCAGGCAGGGCAGGCTGCCCTGGGGTGAAGCTGGGAGATTGTGGCCCCTCCAGAAGATTCCCAGAGTGGAATGGAGAGAGCTGGGGAGCATCTGTGGGTGCTTTGTAAAATAGTGAGCTCCCCAGCCCCCTACCAGAGCTATTCCAGCAGAACCAGATGAGTATGTGCCAGGGATCCTGACCCGGTGACCCCAGCTTTCTGGGTGAGGTTGAATGACATCTCCACCTCCAAAATCCCAGGAGTCTTTGCTCTCCCCGAGGAGGTTCTGGGAAGCAGCTCCATCAGTTACCTGTTTCTCCAGCAAGGAAACACATCGTCGCCAGGAGCTTGTGCAAATCCCTGCTCATTCTACGTTTCCCAGCATCCCCACAATGTCGAATTGATGTCCCAGTGTCACAGATGGGGGAGCCACGGCTCAGAGAGTCTATGTGACTTGCCCAAGGTCACACAGCAGGGAAGTGGAGGAGCCTGGATTTGAGTCCAGGCCAGTCTGGGAAGAGTGGAGAACGTCCCTCCCCTGGCCTGGATCTTGGCAGGAGATGGTCTGTCGCCCCCATAGCGTGACACCCCCTCAAGGACTGTCTGGGGCTCCATCCTGAAGACACACCCAAGGGAGAACTCATTCTACAAATAGGAAGACTGGGATTCAGAAACAGAATGGCCTGCCCAAAGAGTACCCAGAGAGTTGGATGTGGGCCAGGGCTCTGTCCCTCGCACCGGTGGGTGAGGAGGGGCATCTGGGCTGGTGGTGGTGTGAGGTCTGAGATTTCAGGGTGGTCTGGCTGAGGGCTGAGAGGTTAGGACTGTGGGGAGGGGATCAAGCCGGAGAACAAGAAGGGGAACAGCAGGGACAGCAGTTTCGCCTCTGTCCTCCCCGGTCCTGCCCTAGAGCCACCCACAGAGGTCTGTGTCATACAGCCGGTGAGGCCAGGGAAACGGGTGGGGCCTGCCTGAGAGGGTCGTGGAGCCAGCAACCTTGGGTGTGGTTCCTGTGTGACCTGAGGGCGGTTCTCGCCCTTTCTAGTTCGGTCCACCCATCCGTGTGGCCGAGAATCGGGTTTTATGAGTTATTTCCACAAAGCAGCCACCGTTGGGCTGCCGTCCCAAAGCGCTCTTCCCGTCCCCACGGGGATCCCGGGCCCTGGGCAAGGGGTGGGCAGGAAGCTGGGGGCTGGTATAACCTTGCAGCTTCCTCAGCCCCTCAGCCCTCCTTGGGGTCTGGGGGGATGTCCAGGCCCAGCCCTTCTTCTCCTTTTCATCTTTATTCTTCTCCTGCTCCCTCTTCCCCTGGCTACGTGGGCTGATCGCTGCTCAAACTTTTAATTCAGATGGTAATTGAAATAATAATATGGGCTGAGGCCCCTCTGCTTGTGACGATGCAGCTGGTGGAGCGCGGCTATGAATAGACCTTGAGTCACACACACGCGCGCGCACGCTCCTGCAGGCGCGCACACCGCTCACGGGGTGGTGGGTGGGGTACGGCAGGGGGGCAGGGGGGGCTCACGCTCCAGGTTGCTCTGGGTCTCGCCCCCAACTCCCAAAAGCCTGGACCAGTTCCACCCCTGTGGCCCACTGTCGGGTCCCAGT